AAGATCGGCAAAAACACCAAGTTTCCGACCAAGAACTACAGGCGTTCAAAAATGTCTGCAAGCACAACATGATGTTGGTTCCAAGGCACAGAGAAAGAAGAACTCGCAGAAGCCTGAGCCTCGCATAAGCTGCAATGATGGTGATGCAGAAAACTGCACTGCAGCGGCCGCATGATGGCACAACTACGCCTCATTTTCGTCGTCACAAGTTGCGCTACGACTAGTTCTGACTGCCCTTTTTCATCGTCATCATTACAACCACAACCGGCAACGTCAGCATCGCTGTTGTCACTCATCACCATGGACGCTGTCCTGCAAAACGTCAGGAATTGTCAGTATATCCTTGTGGACAGCGCCATCGATGGTCAGTGAAATCCACGCTGTCACTGCTATACTTACGGGCCTAATGCTGGAACCGGAAGCTGGTAGGAGTAGCTGGTAGGAGTAACGGCAGTGCTTCACAGATACGACTACCATCATCACTTATATTTCTGTCTCTCCTCCGATTCCTGTTTCTACACCTTTGTCTGCACTGTTCTCACCGCTGTCGAAAGTCTTAAGTCTTAAGTCCTGCCGCGAATGCTGCTCTTTTCGTTCGTGCTACTGCAATACTGCTCTACTCTGACGGATCTCGTGACTCTTACTACCCTTGCTGCTAACGCCAGCATCATCCTTTTACATCCTGTGTCGCTTATGTAGACTGTAAAGCAGCCAGCACTGCTGCTTCTACTGCTTCTGGAACGAAACCGGTGCAGACGCAGAAACCGAAGTGTGGAACGGGCAAACGTCACAACTTGCCTGCGCCTGGGACACGGCGGTGCCACGGAGGCTCGGCGCGCTGGCCTCTGCCGAGTGCTGGGACGCTTGAGTTTGGGAGTCCACCTTGGGGCTTCCCGTGCTGGTCGTTCTGAGTTTCGGCCGGATGATATCGTATTAGGACGGGGACGTGGTAGATGCAACTCTGAAGCATGATGACTATGTTGCTGACTAACTGCCTAAACATCTCGTTTGCATAATCCTGCCATCGACACAGCACCTCAATCGATCGAAGATACGGTGTTCTACATGGGAGCCCGAAACAACTCCAACAAAAACACTCTGCCCAACGCCCCTCTGCAAGCCTCTGCAAGCTGGCCCATGTTTCGTGGTTCCATCACGGTTTGGGAGACGTCTGATCGTTTCATCGACTTCGGGCTGCTAACCGCAGCCTGCGCAGGGGCGGCGACGAAGGCATCAGCAGTGCTGCCCAACAGAGCCAGGCCACCTGCGAACATGGAAATGTCTCGTCCGAAATTCAGGAGACAGAGGGATGAATCAAGCTGCCAGCTGCCTTCATCTTTACGTGAGCCTACCTTGATTCCTGAAGCCGCTCTGCGGAGACGCTGCCTGACACTGCGTTGTCCCAGGTTATCTAAGTGTTCCTGCTGTGTGTTTAAATTTTAAATTGGCATTCGGCACTTGATGATTCTAGCAGTTCTGGCAGCTTGGTAATGTCATTTTGGGGTGTAGCCACGTAGAGTTAGTGGCTTGGTCTTCTTTTGTCTATGTAGGCTTGCAAGATTTACGATTTCGAGCACTACGAAATTGGGGAAAACGCTCAAGGAAACCGGGGTGGCCACTTCCCCATGGACTCCGACATGCCTGCACTGCACACATACGCAAAGAACTGCTTACATGCAGTTGCGGAAAGGCTACTTTCGCTCTTCGCCTGCGGCTGCCCCAGCGAGGGCAATGTCGGACGGACGCTGAGCCATCCCAGGAACGCGCTGCGGGACGCGGAGAAGGGGAGAACTATGTATCGACCCAGTGCAGCGCGCTGCGGCATGCCGGCACTTTCAGGCAGTGCGAAAAGGGTATATATGCGCAAGACGCATAGCTCAGCGCTCAACTCACATCGCCTTTGTCCTGCTTGATTCGATTGCCGCTTTCTTTGCGAGACCTAACTTTCCAGGGCCTCTTCCAGCCCTGTCCCGTCTGGCATGGAACCCTGGCACTGCCATGAGAAGGCATTAGCGTGGAATAACTACTGTCTGGCATCTGTGCTTCTTTGTGAGCGAAGCGAAACCGCTATGCACCACAGTCCCCCAGATCTTCTGCACAACGATGCGCAGCATCAAACGAAACAGCTGGGAGTCTGCAACTGTTCCCAATTAAAATGTCAAACCTCCAATCAGCTAGGCTTGCCTAAACTCGACGGAGGGGGCGCTGCTCATCGAGAGGAGACTGAGGGAAGTCTCTGTATCACCAGGGCCTCCAACTTTGCACAGCCCGCAGAAACCTGCACTTTCATTAAAAGCAACTGGAGCCAGGCACCCAGATCGGGCGCCGCACGAAAGACTTGGCTGCCGATCTCCGGGCAAACCAATGCTTAAGGCCTGGTGCAATGTTGCAGGGATTTTATGCACTTTTGCACTACAAATCTGGTGTGCTTTTCTTACAAGTCTTACAAGTCTTTGCAAAGACTTGTAAGACTTGTAAGCAAAGCACACCAGATTTGTAATGCAACAGTCGTAGATCTTGCCGTGCTCGACATCGCCCATACCTGAACCATACGCTCGTGACAACACAGTGCTAAGCACAGAAACATCAGTCAACCATTATGTCAGTACGGTTTTGCGCATCTTATTCAGTCAACACGGCATTCTGAGCCCATGACCCTGGTTGTTGCCGATG